AGGATATTCCGAGATGTTGCTTCAAAATCTGCCGTTGATGAGTTGATGCAGAGAAAAATACATAGATCTTTGAATTACATTAAAAAATTCAGGAGCCTCACTAGAAGCTGATGCTGCATGAACTGACCAGTTCAGTGAATGATAACTGCATGGGACAAAAAAAGCTTAAGGGTTTAACTCTCGGATCCGTGTCCGCACTCCTCTGTTCTTTCCTCTCATGTTGGCACCATTATTGTAGCCCTGACCTCTCCTGTCAGCTGTCGCAATTCCCGTATCTTCCAGCTTTTTAAGAAGCACATTTGTCATACCAGCTCCTGTAGTATCATCAAGGTCAATAAATTCTAGAAAATGCTCTCTGACAGTCACCATTGCAGGGACATTTTCTCTGGGTTCTGTTGTTACAAAATGCACCAAGTCATTTGTTCCATATGGCTGATGTCAGGTGTTCAGTCCAGAATAACAGAGTAAGATCTTGCTGACTTCAGATCTGCCACAATCTTCTGTTTGACTTTTGTTGCCAGTAACTGTATGATCTCATTTTGAATTGTTTTCCAAGGTAGTGGGTGGTGACTCTTCTTAGATGCTCCTGGAGTACGGCATCAAATTCAGCCATCAGCTCCACAATTTTAAGGAAGTTTCCATTGTCTGGCACATACAGCTGATCTGAAGTGCCACGCAGTGCTAGGTTTTGGGTACCAAGCATTCTCACGATGGCAATGAGCCTTTTCAGAACATTTTGCCAGTCAAGAGACTCTAAAGCAATCTTCTCTTGATGCTGATCATCTATGGTGGCCTTTAACCGTAGTCTCATCTCAAGCTCTTTCCACCTATGGAATGCTCTCTGGTGATTTAATGCCTTCTCATGGCATGCCAGATTTTTCCAGTCCTTTGTTCCTGTAGAACCCAAAGTGGCTGGAACATTAGACTGGAAGAGTTTGCAACAAAACCAGTATGCAGCATTCTGGATTTTTGAGTACATAAGCCATGGCCTCTCCACTTTGTCACCATTGGGGATTTCATGCCAGTAATGTGTTGGATGGAAACTTCTATTTTCATTGTCTTTGGGGAACATGAAGTTTTTCACTTGCTGTGGCCCACGCAGTACAAGGAAGTCCCTCAGGCTACTGCTCAAGTGGGTCCACAGTCCTTGATCATTTAGACTTAAGGAACTAAACTCAGCAGCAGCTGTTTCTTGCGCCTCCACCACCCTCTTCTCTGATCTACACTTTTCTTCAGGAATGTGCATAGTTACATCCATTGGAGATGGAGATATGTATGCTGCAGTAGCTGCCAGGTCACCAGCACTCTGACTAACTGGAAGATCAGGCATCTCCTCACCACTCACATCCTCACTGGAACCGGAAGGCTCACCGTGAACATTTGTGTCTACGTGTCTCAGGAGAGCTCCTTCCTGCTTAGTTAGAAAAGCTTCCTTTGCTTGCTTTCTTTTTCTGAATGGTGCCCCAGAGGGACATTTTCTTCTTTCACTCAAGACTGCTGTTCTGTGCCAGCTAGAGTGGCTCTCAACACTCAATTGAAGGGGACAAATAAGCAGCCTGGTAGCAGGGCCTGAGCGAGGGAAGAGATCAGCATCTTAAGGGCCTAACTGGCTCCTACTACTTCAGTTGACTGCCTGTTCTCCTCAGGTGGGTTCAGGGAAGCAGCAGGAAACAGGAAGCTCCCTGAGAAGCTGGTGTTAATCAGTCCAGGTTCCTGGGGGTACTACAGAGGTACATAAGAGGCTCCTCCTCTCTCTCCCTGCAGTTCCTGCTGCTTTCTGTTATTCCCTCTCACCTTTTCTCCTGCCTGCCTGTTCTGTCACTTGTGCCCTCCTTCCTCCAGCACAGCACTCCCCCATCTCTGTGGGTCTAGAGCAGAGAGAATCCAGATGCAGACACAATTTTCTACACTCTGGGTCCTAGTGGCACCCCCACACGGTCTGGCACCTGAGGCGGCCATCATCCCTTCATCAAGGGATGAAGGCAAGACAGCTACAGAAAGGCACCTAGTGACGGATGCAGAATGTTTCCAACTTACCTCTACAGAGTGTAGGCGTCTCCATTGAATCTGAGCTGTTTTGCAGATGCTTCTGTTCCAGACATGAGCACTAACAAGCCCCGATACAGATCCCGTGCTCTAAGGATGCTGTCAGCACTAACTAATATACTGCTAACTGGTGTAAACTATTAAAGTCCTCTGAGCTCCAACTGGGGCCCTGCCTTTTGAAACACCAATGCTATAACAGGATCATGTGCCCGGCCACCACTTCATAAGCAGCACAAAACCAAAGATCCCTACCTCAGATGTGGTACCCTGTAGTAGGATGTCATTCAGCAGAGTAACGCAGGTTTCCCTCCCATAGTTCCCTGGATAGCTCAGGCATCTAAAAAGTCCGGCCTTTACATGTTCATGTTGCTAATGAATTTATGGTTTTATAGACGTGTTGGCTTGGTTTAGTAGTGTTCTGCGATTGTGTGATAAAACAACAGGTCTAGCACCTCAGTCCTGCAAACATTTATGTGTGTAAAGTTAGGCACAGCTCTTGCAGGAACAAGTGTTTATGAGTGTAATAATTGAACGGCAGTAATGCGTCTTTCCACAAGATGGTGCCCTGAGAATATGGATTCTGCTGTAGCGCGTGTTTGTTGAGAGCCAGCTATTTATTTAGAAACGTTTGTTATTTCAGCCTCAGTGGAAATCATGAGCTCCGTCCAACAAAGCATTTCAGCACACGCTTAACTTTCAGCAGGCAAGTAGCCCCTGCTCATGTGCTTAAGTTGCTGGGCTGCGGTGCAGCGGTGTCTATTGTTTTGTGTATTTGGTACTTTCCCATCGTGATTATCCTGCTACAAGACTTTTCAAAATATAAACGGAGGCTTGTGCATTTAACATTAAACGCTGAATCCCACAAGAATCGCACCGACGTTCATTTTTTTAATAAAAGTCGTTCAGGAAAGACACATGATAATTTAATTGTACTTTGGGTAACACACCGGTACAAAGGTGGCAATTCGGAGTGCTACAAGATCGATTAAATGTATAGGCAGGGTGGCCTTGAGGTGAAGGCATTAGATGGGGACTCAGGAGATCTGCTCTGGCTCTTCACAGACTCCTTTGGCCAAGATACATGGGGTCCGACTGAAGGCCACTTAACAACGTACTTCACTTTTAGCACGAGCTTCAAGTCAAGCGGTGATTAAGCGATTTCCAGAGTGGTGATCGGTTTTAAAATCGGGTGGAAGTGCGTTCTTGAATTGTGGCCTTTCTCTCTCTGCCTCCATTCCCCATCTGTAAAATGGAAACAGTTGTCTTGTCTGCCTGGCCTTTTTCTGCCTTGTCTGTTTAGGCCGTGAGCTGTTCGGTGAGACGGTGCTTCAGGGTACGTTGACACTGAAGCTGGGAGTGAGCCTCCCGGCCCGGGTATCCAGACACGCACTCAAGCTAATGTGCTTAGAAATAGCAGTGTGGCTGTGGTGACCTGGGCCAGCCACCGGAGGGGTTGGGTGGGCTGCCGCAACCTCCGCGCTTCCCATTTTAGCTCCAGCAGAGCTGGAGCGTGGCTGTCTGCCCGGGCGGGAGGAAATGCAGCCTGCTGCCGTGTAGACATCCGCTGACTGACTCTGGCTATGTCTCTGCACAGCCCCTGCCACCGGGGGGCCCTGGTCTCAGCGGCGGACTCTCATTAACACTACTGTGTGACGGATCTCGCATCAATCAAACGAAGGCAGTTCTGAATAGCCCTTGTCCTGAAACCTGGCCCCTGTTGTATTTGAAAAGCTGCTCAGATTTCAGGCTTTGGGGCCAGGTTCCTAGTGACTGCTGTAAATCTGGAGGCACTCCAGTGGCCCTGGGGGAACTGAGCACAGACTGTGGACGTCATGCTGTTAACTTGGCCATACCCTTTTCTGAAGCCCTCTCCCACACAGTGGAACACCCCACACTCTCCCTGTTGCGAAGACTTGTGACCTGGTGTCATCTCAGACGCCGTTCCCCTCACATCTGGCTTGCATCCAAATCTTGCTGCTCCTTCCTCCGTACTATTCCCAACCCCTGGCCTTTCCTCTCCATCCACACAGCTCCCAGGCCTCCCATCCTGACTGCCGCAGCGTCCTCCTCCCTGGGCTCCCGACACCCGCGTCGCGCTCTGCGATCTGCACAGCTCCGACCGTCGCCCCTGCACCTGCTGCCATCCCCGCTATGAATTCTCCGTTGGCCTGGCTCCCCCTCTCCGCTGCATCTGAGCTTCTTGTGATTGCCTCCCAGGTCCTCCCTAATGCCGCCACTCTTTGCCCTGGTCTGGCCTGGCATCGCCTTCCCACCCACTCTGCCCTGCCAGTGCTGCCAGCCCCATGGTGGTATTTGCCTGCTTCTCCTGCAGGGGGTCTCCTTGCTTTCTTACGCTGCTGCCCCTGAGCTGGCCCCACCTCGCCTCCTTTAAATCCCCTCTGAAGTCCCACTTCCACTGCAAAGTCTACAAGACATGTGCTGACTCATCCATTCGGCCCGCTCATTACTTTAGCCAGGGAACCATTGCTGTGGAGGGAGGGGGCTGGGTCACTGGGGTGGATTCTGGGCCACAAGGGGGTTGAACTGTAGAGTGGGAATATTTTTCACATTTAACTTAAACCAGCACCACAACACACTTGGACCTACATCAGACACCCGGCGGTCGTCACCCAGCTAACCTGCCTTGTGTGTCGTATCCCTTTCCACACCTTGGGCTGTCTGTCCTCTTAGACTGCACCCAGATTGGAAGCTCTTCAGGGCAGGGTCCATCTTTTTATTCTGTGTTTGTGTAGCACCTGATGCCGTGGGGTCCAAACTGGGGTCCTAGGTGCTGTGGTTAGAGAAATAATAACGTCCTCTGCTTCTCAGGGCAGGGACCGTGTTTTCCTCTGTGACAGGAAGGCAGCTAGCATGCTGCGATCTAAGCAATAAATAATACGGATTGCTGAGTCCAGTCCATCACCCAATGCTGTCTTCTGTGTTCACTCGCGCAGGTACAGTCACCAGGCAGTGAGGAATGGGGGGAAAGCTCAAGCTGGCACCCACGAGATGAAAACAAAGGGTCCCGAGCCAGTGATCAGCCAGCTCATCGACAAACTGAAACACATCAACCAGGTGGGTGCGAGGGCAGGGAGTGGGGATTGCTCTGGGGGGGGAGGTGGCGCGTTTCCAAATCTGCCCTGCTTTGCTCAATTAGATACGTTTCTTGGATTTTATTGGCATGTGCAAATGACAGCGGAGTCATATGATGTCAGTTGTGAGTATGGGACCCAGGGCCACAACACACGTGTGTGCCCAGCTCCACCACCCTTATGGTCCAGACTGGAACTTGGTGCAGTCTTGAGGAGGGGTGCTCAGGGAGCCAGGCTTTCAGGCAGGGGTGGCTTTAGTGGGGTTCGTGGGCACAATTGCACCCACAGAGACCCCAGAGCAGTATCTCTTGTCCCAGGGGACTCAGCCCAGCTCCCTGCGCTGGGCATTGCAACCCAGGGACACTGACCACCCACAGCAGCACCACAACCCTCATCCCAGCCCAGTGCAGAGGGAGGGCCCAGCAAGGGGTGGGGGTTGAGAGCAAGCTGCCCCACACTCCCCCCGACAGCAGTGTCTGGTCTCAGTTCTCTAGAGCAAACCCCGCCATGCTCAGCACATTTGATGGCAGTTCTGTGTTGTGCGGATGAGGCTTGTGAAGATAATTGTTATCCTTTGTCCGGGCGAGTGGGTCTGCAGAATCTGTTCCTGCATGGAGGCCATGCTGTCAGACACTGCAGCTGCATCTCCAAGGGGATGGGATGGTTTTGTGACTGACACATTAACGTAAGGAACATGCTAAGTTTGGGGTAGCAAAGCAGTCATCAGATCTCAAGCTTCATGTCACAGACTGATCACCGCAAGGGCCAGGAAGGAATTTTCTGGCCTTGCCCAGTTTTCCTGGTGCTTAATGTGAAGTTTTCATGTGCACCTGGAGTGTTGGGTATTGGTCCTGTTGGAGGCAGTTTATCAGGCATGATGGCCCCAGTCTGAGCTGATGTTTCCACTCTAGATATTCTTCTTGTGACAAATTAAATCAGGATTGCACCGATAGAAGCAATATGGTTCCATTAGTTATTGGCCGCCTTCCCTCTTGCTTCCATTTGCTCTGCCCTGAGTTAGCGGGATGAGGAGCACGCGTCCTTAGCACCACCACCACCAGTCCGTGCCCCAACAGCTCAGGATTAGGTCCTGGGCTGGCTTTCTTTAAGATGACCACTTAACTTCCCCATGTTCTCTCTCCTGGTGTCATGGTTTCTTGGCTTCCTGCCTTGCCCCAGACCAGCAGAGCTCCTGTCCACCCCTGGACTCTGCTCTCATTCCTGTGACACTAGTGTGCAGCGATGTGTGGTTGTTTTAAAATGCAGCTGGGGGCTTATGCCTTTGCTGTTTCTGGGCACAGACTGTTTGGGGGCCTTGTGGGTTCAACTATCCAAGTAATAATAATGTGCCCTGTAATATGGCTGAGTTACCCAATTTAGCCTGAAAGCAGAGTCTATGCAGGGAGAGCTTTCTTGTGAGCTTTCTTCGTAAGCTTTTGAACACAAACAGGTTTAAAAAAGCTCAAGGAGGCTAAAACAAAACCACACTTTCAAGGCTGGCCTGCAGGTTGGTTTTGCTCTTTCGGAAGTTCCTAGCTGAGGTGGTTTGCTGATGACTTCTTCTTTTCTGCTTCAGTGAACACCAGGGAACTGTATTCATAGCATTCCCTGGCTTGAGTCTTTAGGTCCCCAAGACACACCTCTGTTACCTCCCCTGTGGGTGTAAGTAGCAGGCAGTTTTGCTTAGGAATTAACTCTTTCTGTGCTCATGTGACGGTGAGCCATGTACACCCTGACACAGAATAGCAGAGCTTACTGTTGGGGCGCAGGTCCAGTTTTCCTTTACATTCATACATGCCAGCTTGCAGTACTTTACAATACAGGGTAACAGGTCTTGCTTATTAAAAGGAGAAAAAGTCATAATCAGCTCCCTATTAAACTGTGAAGAAGGCAGGTTTCAGCCTGCTGGTGGTGGTGATATTTCGCTATTCACAGTGAGAAAGCCACACTGAACAAAACATGCTTATTAGCGTTCTTGAAACTACGGCTATACAATGATTGTGAAATGCTGGCTGCCAGATTGGGTCAAGTCAGGTCTTTTGCTGATCAGTTCAGGCTGCAAGGAGGCTAAGTTTCCTGGACTAGGAGACCAAGGGTAAATTAGTCAGTTGAACTGAACTGTGTACTGGTAAAGCTACAATATATGTAGCTGAAAAAACCAAAACAAAAAAAAATAACTCCCAAATTTTTCAGTTTTGAAACTGAAAAAAAGAAATTGAGAAAAAGGAAGTGTGGAAAGCCCAGTGGGGAGCTGGTCACAGGACAGGTTTCAGAGTAACAGCCGTGTTAGTCTGTCTTTGCAAAAAGAAAAGGAGTACTTGTGGCACCTTAGAGACTAACCAATTTATTTGAGCATGAGCTTTCGTGAGCTACAGCTCACTTCATCGGATGGAAAGCGATGGTCTGGTCACAGGACACAGGACAGCCACTTACCACTGCTATTACCAGACCAGTAGATGGCAACCAAAGTCTGCAGCTTTACCACTATCTAGTGCAGTTCAACTGCGCTTTTTTAATACATGTAAATATACAGAATGTGAACACTTTGAAAAATCAAACGCCTTTGTGAAAATGTTAACTTTTGGGGCAAGGCCATTTGTCATTGGAAAAGAGTTCAGAAGAAAACATTTTGAAAGCAAAAGATAATACCTGAGAACTAGCTATGAACCAGCTATTCATGCCAAATACGTTAAGCCAAGCTAAATGGCTCAGATCCTGGTAAAAGGAAATCTGGATTTTTCTTAGACTTGAGATTTTGTGGATTGAATCTCACCATTGTGCTTAGTTCCTTGGCCCAGGAAAGTTTCTCTGTCTCATTCACATCTGCACTGACAATGGGCTCCCAAAGAGGAGGAGATATGAAAAGCTGCAATTCTGGTTGGGTCAACAGTCATGTTGTAGAATGCAGTGTGGAATCCCAAACTGGAAGAGAGACGAAAAGTAGCTCATCTGCTCTACTCAAGTGGAAAGCATCTTTTAAAGGAGGTTTCTTCAGGCTTTCGGTGTCTGTTGGAGAAGAGGGGCAATGAGTACCGCTTTTCAGTGGTCAGTTCTTCGTGCTCAGGTTTCTGAAATGCATTCTCTGTAGGTATCCAGCACATAGCAACAATGTCTTTCAAGTGGCTCCCTGTCCATTGTTTTGATCAGAGGAGATGCAGCTTTGATCCCAGAGACATATGTAGGCTCCCTTTCCAGTTAGTTGAGTTCCAAAACATTTTCTTTAACTCTTGGATGTTGCTAATAGATGTAATTTATGTTTTACAATGTTTTAGCCTTTATTTATTATATGCTGTTCATGCTATAAAAATAAATACTTTTCCAAAAGCATGACAAAGCTTCAGAATTCTCTGGAGATGGTTCAGGTTTGGTGAATAAATTGTATAGTTCTGTCACTCATTAACCAATCAGTTTTCTCCCTCTGAATCTAAATAAATGCGTTCATAGCCTATAAAGCGCCCCCCGCCCCGCACTCCACAAGTTGTTTTCTGTGTTGTAGAACTTGCATGCTTTTCAAGCAATCATGTGGACCTCATTCGTACACTAGAATGGAATGCCCAGAGGTTGGAAGGAAATCAGCCAGTTAAAACTATACAAAAGGGGAAATAAAAAGGTCTGTCTGAATTTATTAGGTTTGGTTTATGGTCTTTAAAAAATAAAACACACAGCAGTTTGAGTAAGTTTAATGTCTCAGGTCAGATCTTTTTGGGGTGAGTGACATTTTCTGGAGCATGATTCCTGATAATAAGATTGAAACACAAAACAGCTTGGTGGGTCTTTTTAATGTGTGATTTGTGGGTGGCTCTGTTTATTGTGGGTTGGTGGGTGAGCTGGTTTATCATCATCATCATGTTAGTACTGGGATTTTTTAGATTCCTTTGCCTTTAGACCAAGTTGTGATTTGAGTTGCTTTCACTCTGTGCCCAGAAGCATGGATGGCTCATACATAAACATTAGCGTTATCACACTTGGGAAGTCAGGGATCTTTTTGACGGAAGTGAGTTTTAATTGATCCCTATTTTTATTTCTCAGAGCACCCTGTGAGGTAGGGCACTGCTGCTGTTCCCATTTTGCTGCTGGGGAACTGAGGCATACAGAGGCTATGGTCCCTCAGGGAGTGTCTGGCAGAGTAGGAATGTGAACACAGGCATCCAAAGTCCTAGGCTAGTGTCTTAACCATTGGACCAGTCATAAGCTTATCAACCCCCCTGCCCCGCCCCCTTTCTGGTGGGTCTATCTCCAGGAAGAGGAGCATTATTTTGAAACAATACTTGGTAAGAATTGGAATAAAACCCCTAAAAGGAGAATAAGTGGGCAAGATAATGTCATTAGAAAATTGAGAGGCCTAGAAACATATTTTAAATTTCCAGACACTGGAGTGCAGGACTCATTTAAAATATTTCAAATATATTGGAGCTTGACAGATCTTTGGTTTGCACATCAAACAGTCTGTAATTTATTACACTGTGTAGGGACTGTGTTTTTATCATATTGCATATTCTCTAGCCAGAAATATAACAGCCAGCTAAGCTCTTGAAAAAACCCATTTGGGAATCACAGTCCAGGCAATAGGCTTTCACAAACCCTGGGAAATTAACTTTGATTGATTCCCTAGAATATAGAGAGACTATGTGATTTCTAGGAATATGCTTGTTTTACAAGGTGAAACCTTCGTGTCTTTTTCTCATGTCCAGTTTAAGGCCCTGATCCTCCAGTCAGGTCAAGGTATTGGGCCTTCTGGGGTTCTGCAGGGGGAGCTCCCAGGTAGGATCAGAGTCAAAATTTGGAAGTGCAAGAAGCAGTAAAACTCAGTGTTCTCGAAGGGGAAAAGCATAAAGATGAGAGGCAGCGCAGTGGCCAACACACACAGAGCGTTTGCAGACTGGGAATCGAAGCTCAAACAGGGTTGTTTAAAGGTACTTGGATTGACTAAGATTATGTATTCGGTACTTGCTGAGAACGGTTGCTACGGAGGCCGTGCTCGCA